AATTTGATAAGTTTCGAGCCTTGTGCATTTGTGGGACCCGTCTCACGAGTGTACGGCGTCTGTCGCGCCTCGAATTTGGGTTTTGGGGCGTGACAGATTTAGTGGTATCAGAGCTTAGGTTAAATTAAATATTTGGAGATTTAGTGGTATCAGAGCTTAGGTTAAATTAAGATTTTGTGATACCAGATTTAGTGGTATCAGAGCTTAGGTTGAAATTAAGAGCTGAAGATTAAATTAAGTACCTCCAGATTGAGTGGCATCAGAGCAGATTTAGTGATATCCGAGCTTAGGTTTAATTGAATACCTAGGATTTGTTTTGGACTTGGCTAGCCAATTGATTTTAGACCCGTGGTGAGACGAGTGATGGGGTTATACAAGGGACAATTCTGATTGATGTTGCCCGAATTTTCTCATCCATTTTGATGAGATGGCAATCTGATTGTTCTTGTTTCTTGCCTTCATACTCTGTGTGAAGTTGTGAAAGTAATCTTGCCCGTTATGTCTTGAAGACCTTGTTTTGAAACTTGGTCATTTCTGATAGTCTGCACTTGTTTAGACTTGTTGCGTGAATAGAATTTTTGTGTGCTCTTTTGCCACAATTGTGAAATCTGGGGAGTTGCAAAGATCTTTTGTTATTGATCCTGTTAGTCTCTACAGCATAGCTGGTTGAGAAATTTGCTCTGTTTGTCATATGACCAGTGGAAGGTGGGCAACCCTCGACTTTGTAAGAGATTCAAGGCTATTTTAGCAAATGTTGTGTGTTTTCTAGCTACGTTTTAGGAGCTGGATAACTTGGTAATTCCGTTGCTCCTTATCTTCTGGAAGTGTTATAATGAAGTTTCACTTTTTCCGTTTGGAGCTTCGTGGTCTTTTCATGTGGCTCATTTTTCTGTATTGGTTAATCAAGAGCAGTGATTATTCAATTGAAATTGTTGTCTTTTTATGAAGATTGGCAAGCTATCATAAAGTTAAACTCCTTATTGTTGCCAATCTCTACATTCTTGATATCTGGAAATTGCTTGAAACTCTTGAAATCCATCTTGAATCTTTCTTGATATTGCTTTGTACTTGTTCTTGAAACTGAAATCCAGAAATGGATAATGATTATTGAGATCCTCATTGTCGTGATACTTGTCTGAAATTAACTCTTGCATTGTTTTTGGAATCTAGTTTGAGTTGACCTTGAAAACATTCTTGTTCTGACTCTTGCTCTTGTTCAAATTCTATATACTGCTCTTGCTCAAATCTTGCATATTCTGCTAGTTCTTGTGTCAATATACCTGATGATCTTCTTGATTCTTGGTTTTTGTTCATATGGACACCTCTTTAGGAGGGGTGACAATTATCAGAAGATACCTATATGAGGTATCCTCATTCCTGTCTCTTGCAAGTGTCAATCTCTGTATTCTGGATGTCTCAGCTTTGACTTGACTCTAGGATGACTTGATTGTAAACTTGCTTAGCCTCCATGAGCTACGAGGTAAAGGGGTAGTCCTTGAAATACTTGATGCCCTAGAGTTTTGTTCCAAGTGAAATGGTTCTTTGATCTGGCTGCTTGGATTCTTGTTTGCCCTTTTAATTAGAAGACATGAATCTTCTCAGCATCTTGATCCCAGTTATTGCTTTGTTCTGTTAATTAATTCTAGTACTTGAGGTGCTAGATCTTGACATCCTGATTGTAATTGCTCTTGAATCCGTGTTCTGATTGTCATTATTGGAATCTGTTGTGGGCCTAATTTTTGGAATTCTATTGCCTGTTTCATGGTTAACTTTTGTCTCTCAATTTTGATTGCTTGGTTAAATTTGATCTTGATTCTTGGTGAATGCCATTTTGTTGCTGAATTTTTGAGGCATTCTACCTTGCACTCTTGTGTTCTAATATTCTTCCAAGCATTCATATTTTCTATTGATTTTATTCTGTTGCAATTCTTGAGATTCTTACATGTCTTTTGATGGTCTTAGCTTTTAACTCTTGTTAATTGCTAAAATCTGTCTCTTGATTTTAGTTGCCTTGTTAGACATAACCTTGTTTATTGGTTAACTTTGTTTTGTGGCAGAATTTATAAGGCATCCATGCACTTGTTCATTCATTCATGATTCATATATCCATTGGATGCTTATCCGTCTTTGATAGAGTTCAAAGTTTTGTTGTACTCATCTTTAAATCCATGCCATTCTTTGCCAACTCGTCTTGTGATGGGTTCATAGCGTAACCCCACAATTGTTCTTTTGTGGTTTTGGCAAGATTTATTTTTATTCCTTGTGCTTCCCATATCACCCCAGCCTCTAGTAGCTTATTTGATGGCAAATCTTGTTAAGTGATTAGTGTTCAGCTTTTTAAGATTAGTTGTGATTTGATATCAGAGTGGCGCAGCGGAAGCGTAGTAGGCCATGTCTGTTCATGGAAAGTGAGTGAGGCATTTGTTTGTCTTGGATTGTGTGAAGCCATTCACCAGTCTAGATGATCCCCAATTTGAGTTTTGGGGACAAAACTCTTTTTAGGAGGGGTGAGTGTAATATCCCAAATTTTCGGGAATATTTAAGAGTAAGTTAAGGACTTGATTGTGAGAAAAGATTGTTTTGGCGCCTAATGAGAATATTCTGGAAGTTGAGGGACTTAAAGAGGGAAAGATTTTGGATAAGGATGGCTTATTTCTTTTTCTCCTTTTCCTCTTTCTTCTCAGCCCGATTCTGCTCTTCTTCTTCTTCTTCCCGCTGCAGCCAAAAAAAAAAAGAGGAACCCAGCCAGCCTTTGAGAAACCGGTGAGAGAGCTTGATTTTATCCTTCTTTTCTTGCCCAAGAACCTGATTTGGAACCCAGAAATCTCTTCCCCCTGCAGGAGCTTCCGGATCCGCCTTGCTCTGCTTTGTCCTTCCGCCGGCTGCTCTTGATTGTGGGTGATTTCTGGGCATATTTTTCGGTAAGAACAGCCCCTAATTCCTTTGTTCTTGCTTGAAGTGGCTTGGGTTTACTTTAATTGCTCTTGTTCCTCCAATTTTTGAGGTAGGCCGTGAGCTTCTTCTCCAAATTGCCGTCGGCTTCTCTTCCCCCTGCAGCTCCGGTTTTAGCTGGAGAATTATGGTATGTTGACAGCCATTTAAGCTTGAAATTAGTCATCTAATTGCTACCCTATTGTTGTCCGAATTTGGCTAGGAAATGGGGGAAATTCTGGTAGCCTTTGAGCATGTTTTAAGCTTGGTTTAAGTGTAAATTAGCTTGATTAGTTGCTGTGATTTTTGGAGAGAAAATCCCGTGAATTAGCTAGTGGTTGGCCATTGTTTGGAAGTCGGGGTACTGTTCACGTCGGGGTACTGTTCACCGACACTGTTCACACCCCGAGGGCCAACATTTAACGGGAATTTAAATGATTAGTTTGTGATATGAGAACGAATTTGGAGATGTCCGATCATGTGGAAAGTGATAGAAATAGCATTGTGATTAGGAATGATCCTAATGATGATTTTAGCTTGAATTTGTGATAGTTCGATATTAATTTTCGGATGTTTTGATTAGGTTCTTGATCGTTCTGTCAGTTAGCATTGAGATTGAGTGCTCGGTTTTATGCGAGTGAGGTAAGTAAATTTATGGTAATGCCCATACTGTTTTTAAAAGCATGTTTTGATTTGTTTTTAAAGTGGTGGCGGGACTAAACCCGTTTTACACGAACATGACTGATTTGAAGTGAAATGTTTTATGCTTTTCACTAAATTGAGCATGCCTACTTGAAATTTAAGTGATTGTCCTGATGATTTGAAAGTGATTGTGAATTGTGATTTTCCTGTTAATTTCTGCCTGTTTTGTCTCCGATGTGGTCATGTTATTCGTGTGCCCGCTAGTGGGAGGTTTATAAACGCTAGCACATGTCGACATGTTAGTGATAGAGCCGGTTCGTTCAACCCTGCTTGTGGGGGTTATACACCAGCAAATCGTGTGCCCGCCAGTGGGAGGTTTATAAACGCTGGCC